GACGAATTTTCCGACGACATTATTTTCTCCGTCGGAAAATCGTCCGGAATTAGGCTATATTGAAATGAGGTTCCGATCGGTGCACAACCGATCGGCACAACCGAGCGGCAATGCCCTGTTTCCGACGAATTTTCCGACGACATTATTTTCTCCGTCGGAAAATCGTCGGAATTAGGCTATATTGAATTAATTTATTTTCCGACGAATGTTCCGACAAAATTATAAACTTCGTCGGAATATTCGTCGGAAATTTGGCATTAAATCTATTGCCGTTTACTTATCTCGAGCGGCGGAGAAATTAATGTAACTAATTCCGACGAATTTTCCGACGAAATTTAAAAATTTGTCGGAACATTCGTCGGAAAATAAATTAATTCAATATAGCCTAATTCCGACGATTTTCCGACGGAGAAAATAATGTCGTCGGAAAATTCGTCGGAAACAGGGCATTGCCGCTCGGTTGTGCCGATCGGTTGTGCACCGATCGGAACCTCATTTCAATATAGCCTAATTCCGACGATTTTCCGACGGAGAAAATAATGTCGTCGGAAAATTCGTCGGAAACAGGGCATTGCCGCTCGGTTGTGCCGATCGGTTGTGCACCGATCGGAACCTCATTTCTCTTCCAATCGGTTATGCCAATCGGTTGCACAACCGATCAGAACTCTTCTACACCATGTCCGTACAAGGCCGTCCGTACAAGTTAAGGAGAGGCCGTCCGTACAAATTTCGGTTCTATCAAGCTATATTGGTGTAGATTCCATCACAAGTTGATGGTCTCTTCCTCTTGAGAATGAGTTCCCCTTGTGTGGATAAAAGGAGATTCAATCACCAAGTGATTGTTTACTCTTTCTTATGAGCTTAGTCTCTTAAATTCCAACAAAATATACCCTGTTTTGTATCAAGATATATTTAAGCGGTACAAATTTAATCTCAAACGTTTCATACGACAGTTCCGACGAAAGTATGAATAAAATAAAATATTAGAATGGTTTAATTATTATAAAATAGAAACAGATTTTTTTAACAAATAAATTATAATGCATATAATATGATAAATTTAAATGCATTTAAACAGATTTTATAAAATATATATATAAAACTAAAGAAGATATATTTGATTTACTCAGAATCGGAAGAATAATCTGAACTAGCAGAATCATTTTGATCTTCAAACTCTTCTCCATCCTCTTCGTCTTCCGCATTTTCCCATATCTGTTCGACTTCTATGTTCTCAATATCAACGAGGGGAATGTCACCGACAGATTGATCTACTTGCGTAATTTCGTTTACTACAATTTGTTGTAGCAGTTCCTTTTCTTTCACCCCATCAACTCTGCTTCTTGGATTTATTTGATGAGCCGTAATCCATGGATATTGTCGAACACCTACTTGTGGATATGGTATGTAGCAAACCTGTGCTGCCTGAGATGCAAGTATAAACGGATCGTACTTTCTTAACTGCTTAGTCGAGTTGATCTCTGTGACACCATACTTTGTAAGTCTAACACCTCTTCCAACTCTAGGATCATACCAGTCACACTTGAAGAGTATACATTTCAAATTTATGACTCCCGGATATTCAACCTCTAATATATCAGTAATTTCACCATAGTAGTCTATCGAATCTGTACGAACAACGACCCCATAATTCACTGTTTTTCTGTTAGTAATCCCTGGACGTTTTATGAAAACGTAGCCTCGAGTGCAATACATCGGGTATGCCATTGCCCTTGATAGAGGACCTCCAACCAACTCTTCAAACCATGTTGGATAGTGTTCCTGCCTACTTGCGGCTGATTTGATCTGCAAAACATACAAGCAAATGTACGATTTTAATAAATAGTAACCATGTTCATAATATATGTAAAATCAACGGTGAAAACTTACATAATATTTTAACCAATTAGCATATTGTGTCTGCTTCATTTCCTCTTTTCGAGCCTCTGTCATGTTTGGATACGCTCCAGACACTTGATCATCAAAGATCCTACAGACATTTGTTTTTTTGTATAAGTAATTATTTTGCAAATAATATATGCGTATTATTAAGGTATGAATTTTGTTTCTTACTTCTCGAATGGTATGACATCGTCACAGTTCCGGAGGATGTAAGTATGAATGTGATTAAATTCTTGATCTGTAAACCATACTTCTCTTTTCTTCCCACTCAGTCTCCCGATTTGAGAAAAGATATCTGGGACAGATGTATGGTAAAAAGGCCGCACACCCCCATCATCGTACCTACCTGGTTTTCTTGCTTTTGTTTGGACATTTGGAGCAAAATAGTAGGCCGAAAAATGAGAAGTCTCCTCGTTTATGCTTTGAGCTACTATAGATCCCTCAACTTTGCTAAGATTTTTAACTTTTTTCTTCAAATGGAACATAAAACGCTCAAAAGGATACATCCACCGGTACTGAACTGGACCGCCTAGTGCTGCTTCACGAGGTAGATGGATAGGCAAGTGCTCCATGACATCAAAGAATGATGGGGGAAATAATTTCTCCAAATTGCAAATGATAATCGGGATATTATCTTCAAGTGTATGTAGTCCTTCGACTGTTAGAGATCTTGAACACAAATCTCTAAAAAATGCACCTATACCTGCAATTTAATTAATAACTGTAAACAAAAAAAGAATATATACATGAATAATAACATATTAAAATAATTGAAAGATAAGTTGTTTGTACCTGCAATTGCTTCATGGACAACATTTGGTAGGAGTTGTGTAAACGCAAATGGTAGTAAACGCTGCATGAAGACGTGACAGTCATGACTTTTCATCCCAGCTAATCTACCACTGTGATCATCAACACAATATGATAGATTTGATGCATAGCCATCAGGAAATTTAACATCATCAATTATCCACTGAAAAAACTTGGTCTTCTTGCTTGCATCTAATCTCCATATAGGAATAGGACCTACTCCGTCTGCAAGCAAATGGAGATCCTCGCGCGCACATATATCGGGTAAATCCATTCTGGATTTGACATTATCTTTAGTCTTACCCGCGACATTTAAAATGGTGTTAATTATATTGTCAAAGAAATTCTTCTCAATATGCATAACGTCAAGACAGTGGCGGAGTAGATGATTTGTCCAGTACGGTAACTCCCAGAAGATACTTTTTTATGCCAATTATGATGTTCTCCATATCCATCAATTCGGACATGACCATTACCCCCTACCGATGCTGTACAGTCAACATCAAAATCACGAAATTGATTCAATATATAATCACCATCATACTCAGGTGGCGGTGGATCACGGATACTCTTGTTCTTGCGGAACAACGTCTTACTACGACGATATGGATGATTTCGTCTTAGAAAACGACGATAACAATCAAACCAACTTGATTTCCGGCCATGTCTTAGTTGGAAGGCATCTGTATTATCTTGACAATATGGACATGACAGTCTTCCATGAGTTGTCCAACCCGATAACATGCCATATGCGGGAAAGTCACTAATAGTCCACATCAATACAGCACGCATGTTAAAATTTGTCTTTGTGGAGACATCATATACCCAAACCCCTTGGTACCATAACATTTTTAACTCTTCTATAAGCGGCTGTAGGAACACATCAAGTGAACGACGAGGGTGGTTTGGACCAGGAATCAAAATGGTTAAGAAAAGAAATTCTCTTTTCATGCAAAGGGAAGGTGGGAGATTGTAAGGGGTGACTATTACTGGCCACAAAGAATATTTTCTACCTGACTTTCCAAATGGATTGAATCCATCCGTGCATAAACCAAGATAGACATTCCTTGGTTCATTAGCAAAGACTGGATATGTAGAACAAAAATGTTTCCAGGCCGATGCATCCGATGGATGTGAAATCTCCCCGGTGAACTCATGTTCAGCGTGCCATCGCATACCCTCCGCTGTCCGATCTGACTAATACAACCTCTTCAACCTATCAGCCAAGGGCAAATACCACATACGCTTATATGGTATTTTGTTTCGCCCACCAGTAACCTGAAACCTTTCAGCACCACAGAAACGACATTGAGACATATTTACATTATCTCCCCAAAAAATCATACAATTTTCTCTACACACGTCAATCATTTGGAATGGTAAACCTAGCCCAGATACCAATTTTTGGATTGCGTTGTATGAAACTGGCGATAAATTATCTTCCGGTAGATAATCGTGGATAAAATCAGCCCACGCATCAACACAATCTTCACTTAAATTGTAGTCTGTTTTGATGTTCATCATACGTGTTGCGGCGGATAAAGGAGAATGACCCTCTCTGCATCCTGCATATATCGGATGATTTGCAGCATCTAACATATCGAAAAATCCCTGTGTTTCTAAGTTGGGTTCCTCCGCAACATTAGTATTTTCTACGTTATCATAAAATTCACCACTACCACTTCCAATTACATTATCTTCTTCCTGGTGAATATGCTCATCGCTAATTATAACGTTTTCATCTCTTCTTTCACGACTACTACTAGGACCCGATCTAAAATCCTCCCCGTGAGAAAACCATATATAATATCCTGGTGTAAAACCTCCCCAATATAAATGATTCCAAACAATGTCTTTTGCAAGAAAATGATCATTACAACATTTGACACAAGGACATGCCATAATACCTTCGATACGCGTCATTTCTTGATTAGATGCAAACTGCATGAATTCCATTAAACCTTCCTTGTACTCCTGCCTCATAGCTCCGGTCTCATCATCTAATCGATTATACATCCACTCTCTAATTTTATAAATATTATGAGAAGACATTTTTTTTTCCAAGATTTTCTTGTGTGTCTGTTTTTTTTTTTTCAACTATTTTCTTGTGTTTATGATTCTTTCGTTGTCTAGTATATATATAAAACTTTTCCGACTAACATTTTGTCGGAAATTCGTCGGAAATATTAAAGGTAACCACTTTAGAATTTCCGACAAGTTTTCCGACTAATTTTTTCGATCAAGTTGTCGGGATTACGTCGGAACATGTGCAGTGAATAATCACGTGTTTACCTAGTTTTTTCCGACAAATTTTCCGACAAGTTTCCGAGCAGTTTCCGATGATATTGGATTGTCGGAATTTTCCATGGTTTCCGACAAATATTTCCGACGAAATTCCGACGAATTTTTAATCATCGGAAAAGTTTTTATGTTTCCGACTAGTTTCCGACGAAATATTATTTTCTTGGAAGTTTGTCGGAAATTTCCCGGAAATCCGTCGGAATAATTCCGACTAAATATTTCGTCGGAAATGTTCGTCGGAAATTGCTATGTTTTCTTGTAGTGTCGAGGTGATCCAAACCTAATGACTAACTAGATCCTGACCCGCACGTATGTGCGGGATTTCAAATTTTAAGAAAATGTGTTGTAATAAACTTTCTGTAAATATAGAATATTTTGTTATTTTGGTGATATATATTGTTGTATATATATTATAATATACGCAGAAAACCGTAGAATGCTATTTATATTGTTTATGACACAATAGTTAATGTTGTGAACCATACGTCAAATTTCGGAGTTTGAAATTGAAGAGTAAATTAGAAAAAAAAAATCTTATTAGATTAGAATATAATATAGGTTAGATTGATGTAAACAAATATTTATTTTATATATTATTTATAAACCAATCTTAGATTAATTGTGAGATAATCAACGACGTAGATGTATGCATAATATTTATAGGAAATAGATTGTACATGAAATTAGATTTTTATTTGTGGATGATGACGAAAAATACTAATCTTAATTGCATATTTTAAATTTATGATGACCAAAATATTAAAAAAAAACTTAAATTTCCTATGATCTTTATGCATTATCGCAAATATGGTGATTATGATTGTTCAAATAAAAGTAATGAGCTGTTAACAAAAATCTATTAATGTTTGTTTCCAGAAAAGAAAGTACTATTCAAGTTTAATAGAAAAATAAGAATATTGGTGTGAATGAATATTTTCTCATTTTGAAGTATTTGCTTTGAAAATTTAAACATTGGTATTTAAATTATATTTTAATGTTTTCTGAAAAAATAAAATAATCAAATTTAGAAGAATATAAGCTTGTAACAATTTGAGACAAAATAAAATAATTTACTTGATTTGATATATTAATTTATTTGGCTCTAAATAAAATAATTTGGAAATATAGTAACTATTATAATATGTTTTAATATATATATTTTTATGTAATTGAAATTAATTTTAGTGATCTATATTTAAAATAATGAACTCTACCCGTTTCTAAAAATATATATTTCAAAATTTATATCATTTAAATTCTAATTAAAATGTAAAATAATTTAATCTATACTGAAAATATTATCTAGATATTTAGAACCTAAAATCCAAAATTATTTGTTGAATAGGTTATATTTTAAAGGATGAAACTATTTAGTTTAGATTATATATGAAAAATATACTAAATAATTTTTCATATTTGGAAAATAAAATATTAAAATCGTTTTTTCATGTGTACTACTAATCAGAATTAATTAGCATAGTTTTGTTAAGTAAATGTATTAAAATCTAAATTAAATGATAATTTGTTACAATAAATTAGATTGCCGGAAATATCTAATACTATATTACCAAAATAAATAAGTTTATATTTATAAAATTTCGAATTAATAACTTGATTTATTTTTTATAATTTTTTGACAGCAAATAACTTGATTTATTATGGAATCTTTTAAACTATTTCCAAAAATATTGGGCAGTTATTATTTTATTGATTTATTTTCTATAATTTAAAAAATGTTTTTTTTTATTTCTTCAAATTTATAAAAATCAATGGCATTCTATGTAATAATCTACAACTTAAAGGTTTTTTATTATTTAGTGATTCCCAATTAATAGTATAGATCTGTACTTCTATTCAAATTCAAGAAGTAATAAAACTCTTCAATTCCAAATTCAAAAACGCTATGTATGGGTTTAATTAATAGATAAAATGGCCATCATTTGTTTAGTTGCTTTTTGTTTTCTGTTTAATATTGGCTCTGAAGTTTGTTGACCGAAAACTAAAGCCTAACCAAATAGATTATGACCTTAAAGTTAATTTGTCATGCATACGTGATATACGACAGAGCTTAATTAATACAAAAAAAGTTGTTCATATTTCTAATGTTATAAATTACTAATGTGAAGTGAAACACAAGTACACAACACACATTATACACGCATTTGAAATTTTGATTTGTATGCATATTATAACAAAAATAAATATTATGATACTGATTTCCGGCATTATATAATTGGTCGGGTAAAACGTCTATCCACTCAACTGTATTTTTCTTTTGTCAAAGTCTCTCTACTCAACTGTGTTTTATTTATATATCATAATATCAATGACAATAAATCAAGAAGAATCCTCATAACGTAAAAAGATTCCCCTTAAATAAAAAATGTTGTTTATACTACATAATTCCATAACTAATCAGTAAAATAAGAGGTTTATTAGGTAATCAGTAGTTAAGAAGGCAAATTAAAGAAAGTGCTGAATAAATCCAAGCACCGGCCATATATAGTCAGCGGCGTCGGCTAAAGCGAAATGAGAGCGCACCGTCAGCTTCAAAACAACGCGAAGCAGAGGAACAAACCACTTGGAACTTGTGTTCGTGTGAGGTCGCACGTGCCGCAAGTGTCGGTGGCTGCACGTTCGATAAATCTGACTGACTCGAGAGAGAGAGAGAGACAGGATAAAAAGTACAAAGTCGAAAGGGAGAAAAGCGAAATTCTGATTTTTGTAAAACTTACTATTATTTTTATTACTACGTATTATTTACTTATGTCGAAATCTAAAATCAACATTAGCTAACATTGTTTTTGCTTTTAATTTAAATTTTGTTTTTGCTTCGGGCCAACAAAATTTAACCACAACTACCAAATCATGTAGAAGCATAGAGTTTTGTACGATTTGGACTAATTATCGACCTAAAACCATGGTGTCAAATTTGATCATATTGAATGGTGATTGGCTCATACGAGATTAGATGGGATAAAAATAATATATAATTAAGCACAACCACTTTGTACATATGGTTTTGAATATATATATATATATATGTGGTTTTATCTGTAAATAGGTTATAATCAAGACTCAAGAGTCTCTCAAGAGAGAGATATCAACACCAATGCAACGGAGTTTGTGGTTAAACCTAAAGCATGTAAAGCAAACGAATCCTTCAAGTACTAGGATACTATACTTCGGCTCGAGTTACATTATGTATGGATAATGGATCGACATGATATTCATGCCCTTTGACTACAAATAATTAACAACATATATAATCCGGAGACCATAGCCACACTAAGCCAAAAAAATACCAATTAATTTTGATTGT